GAAAAGAGGACGATTGTCGTTTACATCTGATATCTGAATGTTGAAAGTTTTAAATGTAGATAAGGGAGGTTCACCACAATCAGTGGCTTTTATTGTTATTTCATAATGTGACACCTGCTCTCGATCCAATAATCCCTTAGTGACAACCGAGTAAGTGTTTTCCTTATAGGAGGGCTTTAATTCAAACGGAACGTCTGAGGTTATGCTTGATATTATTTTTCCATTGACACCGGAGTCTTTATCCGTTACGCTGATAAGGGAAATAATTGTTCCCGGTTTTGAATCTTCAGACACTGTATCTGCGAGTGATGTGACTTCTATTTCCGGTGTATTATCGTTGACGTCTATTATCTTTATAACGACTCTACACTCACCTGTCAGTGGAGGTGTTCCTTTATCTGACGCCTCAACATCCAGTTTATAAACGTCATTTTCTTCATAGTCAACATTTCCCCTAACTGTAATATCTCCAGTTAATTTGTCCAATTCAAACATATCGTAGATTTTTCGTTTTAAGGTTTTTCCTAGGCCGTATTCAATATCACTATTTGTGCCTTCGTCTGGATCTGTTGCATTCATTTTAAATATTGAAGCACCGAGTGCAATATTTTCGTGTATTGAAATGTGGTAAATCTCCTGACTAAACATCGGACGATTATCATTACTATCCAGCACAACAATAGAAACATTAAGTGTGCCTGATTTTGGAGGTTTGCCTCCATCAACTGCTGTAACCAGCAGCGTGTGTTTGTTATTTTGTTCTCTGTCCAACGATTTCTTCAGCACTAAAAATGGTATTTTATCCTCATCGCTTTGGCGGATATCAACTTCAAAATGTTCATTTGACGTTAAAGTGTACGTACGAATAGAGTTAGCTCCAGCATCGGGGTCGCTAGCAGTGTGCAGTTGAAATCGTTTTCCTGGTAATGTGTGCTCAGCTATTTCAAATATCTGTTCCCTTTCAGGAAAACTAGGAGAGTGATCATTTACATCCGTAATTTCTACAACTACGTAGTGTATTTCCAAAGGAGATTCAACGAGGATTTTGAGCTCCATAAGGCAGGCACCGCCTCCCTGACACAGCTCCTCTCTGTCAATGTGCTTGTTGACGTAGAGAGCCCCATTATCCTGGTTTACTTCAAAAATAGCGTCCTTACTTCCAGACACAACGCGGAACCGGCGAGCAATCAAAGAGGGAATCTCAACACCAAGATCCTTGGCCACATTTCCAACAACTGTGCCTTCTCTTACCTCCTCTGGAATAGAGTAGCGTATCTGAGCCAAAGCCTGATTTCCGAACAGAAGGGACAAAGCCAAATAAAAAGCAAACCAGGAGCAGTCCTTTGTCCGAGGTTTTGCTTCGCTCCCCATCATTATCCAACAACACATTCACCAACAGGAGCCGGTTACTTTGAAAAACGGTTATTTAAATCCATCCCGCTGAATAACGCGTATTTTGCAAAACTCAGAGCTTGATTCTAACGACTGGTTTGCTTGCTTCAAATGCTCTCGAACCTCTATTCAGTAAGAGACAAAAGCCTTGGAAGGGGAGGGTCAAAGTCGTTTCTGGTTTCTCGATGTAATAGTGACACCCAGGGGCAATTCATAAAAACAAACTTTTCCTACATGTTCTTTAAAACATTTGAAGAGATGCTGTTATATGCCTTGCAGATATGCCAGCTTTTTACTGATTATTTAAACAGTATAGATTTTTTTAACCATGGTTGTACTTGTTGACATGTTCATGAGATTCAGCTCCATGTATACCATTTACAAGGAGCCCCAGCATTTCCTTCTTATAACAAAAGTACTTCCATCCAAAACTGGTACCACGCATATTGCATATTAAGCTCAAAGGTAATACTGCTGCATTGCCATGCTTTCCATCCAAATTTCCATCCCGGTAGTTGTGGTAATTGTACTAATCTGAGACCCACATTTCTGAAACACACATCTTGCTTTTCCCACAATCCCATTTGAACTTTTTGGCGAGAACAAGAAAATTAGGATTTAGGTACCATGGACAATGGTAATAATCGAGAAAAGTCTGTCAATTTTATATTTCAAATTGATTAATGTCAGGTATGCTACTTATTGGCAGTTCAAAAGGCTTATGAGACATGATAGGAAACAGACTTTGAGCAAAGCATAAAAATACATTTGTGTACATGACAACATTCTGCGTAAATATTGTTTAATGAATGTCTTACCTCTGTAGATGTCCCCCTCCTGTCGGGGAGCACCAGTGTGTTGGCATGGCTGCCCGGGACTATAGTAGATCCTATACTCATTCTGGGTCCAACTAACATGTAGCGCTTGTCTCCAGATCTGTACTGGATGCTGTGACACAGTGTCCCATCATATTTTGTCTCTTG